GACATGGTCTTACCATATGGTCTAGGCTAGCCTCAAACTCATGATATTTCTGCTTCAGTTTCCCAAATGCAGGGATTAGGGGTGTTCTCCAATAAGCCTGGCAATGAGGAGCCATCTGTGAGGCACAAATCAAGCCTAGTAGTGATCTGATCTTGAACTCCTCAGCCTCTGAAACTGTAAGAAACAGATTCCCATGGCCTATTAGTTCCCAGCCTATGGTATTTTGTATCATAACAAGCCAATTGGATTTACTAAGACAATAAATAGATCTAATATTTAATTCATTCTAGCAACCTCTGCTTCATAATAAAAGGACTCAGTGTACTTAAAGTAAAACAATTACGAGTAAAGGATTTAATTTTACCTTCTGACTTTAGATGTTTCTTTTCTGTGTGACTTGTATGCTACTGGTTCCTAAATTCCTCCACCATTGTCATTTAAGTTTATTATTTGTATAGTGTATGATTTTATTTCTTTTTTTTCTTTTCCTTTATAAAACACATACAAACTATCGCTGACTATTAGAATGAAAAAATATTGGCAATTACCACGTGCTGGCCAGGACTTGAAATAACTGGAATTCTCATATATAAAACATGAAGTCATTCTGGAAAACATTCTGTATATTTCTTAGTTATATTCTTAGTGATGGAGGACCTTGGGTGTTATGATTAACAATCCAAGCACATGTATAATTCTGCAGTTCTGAGGCTGGTCTCGAACTTACTGGGTAGCCAAGCTTGACCCTGCTCCTGTCTTCACTCCCAACTGCTTGTTCTCAAAGAAGGATAGTATTTTCAACATAATTTATGGAGAAGTTTGACCTCCATAGACAAATAATAATAAAGACCCTCAATTAAAAACTCACAGTTTTAGGCCAGGCGATGGTAGTGTACACCTTTAATGCCAGCACTCAGGAGGCAGACACAGACACTTATCTCTATGAGTTTGAGGCCAGCCTAGTCTACAGAATGAGCTCCAGGACAGCCAAGGATACACAGAGAAACCCTGTCTTGAAAAAAAAAAAAATCACAGTTAAAAAGAAAATTTAATTCAAAATGAATCAGAAATTTCATTCAAAATGCTAAACTATAAACTTTGACGTAAAAGCATACAAAAATATCACTGACTGTTAGAGTGAAAAAATATTGACAATGCCACATGCTGGCCAAGATTTGAAATAACTGGGATTCTCATATATTGCTGATATAAAATACAAAGTCGTTCTGGAAAACATTTGCTATATCACCTGCAATTTCACTTCTGGGTTCTGGTTTGGAGAAATGAACACATCTCCACCCCAAAACCCACATATAAATGTAAAGAGAAGTTCCATTGATAATCACCCAAAACCAAAAGAAAAGAATCTGCCCATTGGTGAATGGACAATAAAACTTTAATGAATGACACAGCAGGAGGAACTCCTCTGCATTAGTATAAAGAAACTGTTGGAGTAAGACTGAGATGGATCCCCAAAGCATAGCTCTGAATGAAGAAGCCCTACAGGAAGAGAACACAGACTATATGCTATGAACTGAGTGTTAATATCCCTCCAAAAATTCATATGCAAAGCCTGAATTCACAATGTGGTGGCGTTCAGAGGCGTGACATGGGAGGTGACTAGGTCATGAAGGTGGTGCCCTCATAAATGGGATGAATGGCCTTATAGAAGAGCCAAACCAGACGAGCCCAGCTGAGCTGAGGGAACAGCACACAGCATTCCAACCCCTCACCCACCCAGGCATCAGAAAGATGCAAGCACTGAGCTAACGCCAACTGCAGGTGCTGGAGACAAAAACAACAGACAGGTGCCTCTTCCCAAAACTCCAGTCTCACAGAAAGTTTTCTCAATGAGCAACTTAAATAAGCCCTAGACAAAGATTTTAAAAGTATGATTATAGATATGTTCAAAGTTTTCAAAATGGACACCAATAAACTTCTGAATGGATTCAAAGATGACATGAACAATCTCCTAAGTGAATGCCAAGAGCACACACACAGCTGAGGACCTGGAAGGATAGTTCAGCAGCCAAGCACTTACTGTGTTTGCAGAGGACCCAGGTTCTGTTCCCATCTCACACCACCTGTCCCTCTAGTTTCAGGGGACCTGAGGCCCTCTTCTGACTTCCGAGGGCTCCAGACATTCACGTGGTGCCCAGACATTCATGCGGGAAAAACATGTATACACAGAAAAACAACAAAAGTCTTTAAACAGAGTTAATGACAACTAACAAAGTTAGTTAGTTAGTTAGTTAGTTAGTTAGTTAGTTAGTTAGTTAGTTAGGCTACTGGAAGAAATATGGCAGACTGAAGAGAAGAATAAACACATCCAAGAGGATACACAGAAAAAATAAATGGCATTAAGACAGTCTTCTATGCAAAAGAAGACTTAAAAAACATGGAACACTACAAAATCAGCAAAATTACAAGAATTAAATAACATTTTCAATAATAACTCTGAATATTAAAAGTTTCAGTTCCTCAATCAAAAGTGCTAAAAGATGGGGTCAAGGATAATGGTTCTTTGGTTTCACTTGAATATCAGTTGGAGTTTACATTTCCTACATAAATGAAACCTTAAAGTGTCTTAGTTCAAGGGGCTATTGAAGGTCTTTAGCAGGAGAACATGGCACTGACAAGTTTTGCCTTTTACTCTTCTCCCTTTGCTAAAAACCATTAGATTACATTCCTAAAGCAACCCAAGGTCCATTCCCTTATTTGGTAACCTCCTCCTCCTCCTCCTGAGACTGTGAGAGGACTTAATTCCAAGGGGCTAGGCAATTCTAATCAGAGCCATGTAGCCTCCGTGGACACTAGCTAATCCCAGTTAAGGTCCACTAGCTGAGGGGTCTGGAGTCTACTGTCTTACCATTCCATACAGCCCTGATCTATTCTGATTGGGCCTGGTTGATATTTGAGTAATCTGGGGCAGATTTAGTGTCTATCTATTTGGCTAATCTGATGTCATGGCAGGCTTCTTTTCTCCACTGTCTGTCTAGGCCTGTGTATCAGTTCCTTGGAGTTCAAAGAATTCCTGGGAAAGCCCCTACCTGAGGACAGTCAATCAGCTTACAGGGCTAGTTGACCAAGAGCTATGTTTATGAATGCATGGCCTTGCTGTTCCCAAAGCAAAGCACAGCCTGCCCTAACCCATCAAATTAAAGGTCAAGGCATTAGTAAAAGCCAAACATCAAGGAGTCAACAAAGTCCCCACTAACTAGGGGAAATTACCTAAGCAATCAGCCAATCCCGAGTCTCCTCATACCCTTATATTATTCTTGATCAATTAGTTTAAAAGTTACCACATAAAGCCTCTCTGACTGTCTATAAACTGAGCCTATGAAATCACGTCTGGGTCGCCATTTTGCCCTAATGGTGACCCCAGCATGCTGGTAACTTCTGCAGAATAAGCGCTCTTTGTTCTTGCTTACTACCTGAGTCTGGGGTCTTTCTCCAGTGATTCTCAGACCCTAGCGGCTGACCACCAAGGTCCAGCTTTCAAAGCACTGAAGTCCAGCAATCAAAAGCCCCCTTTGGGCTATTCTAATTAATATGCTCAATCAAAATGAACCAACTCATGAGGTTTTCCTTTTCCTTTATGAACTGCCACTTGCCTGTGGGCCACATCTGCCTCCTCTCTATCCAGAGGCAATTTTTTTGTCTCCATGGAACAAATATCTGTTGTCCCTTTTCTCTTCTCTTTTGTCCTGTCTTTGTCTCTTATTCTCTACCCTTTGTCTCTCTGGGGCAAATAAACCTCCTTTGTGCTGAGAACATGGTCTTAATGTGTCCTGGTTGTTCTTCATTCCAGCTCTAACAAAAATGACATGGACTGATGCCTAAACAATGATTGTCTGTGACAGTTTTAGAACTCTGTAGAGCAGTGGTTATCAACCTGCGGCTCACAGCCCCTTTGGGGGTGAATGACCCTTTCACAGGGGTTGCCTAAGACCATCAGAAAACACAGATATTTACATTATGATTCATAACAGTAGCAAAATTACAGTTATGAAATAGCAACAAAAATAATTTTATGACACCACAACATAATGAACTGTGTTAGTAAGTCACAGCATTAGTAAGGTTGAGAACTGTAGCTCTAGAGTCTATGATCAAGACATTAGAGCCAAGCATGTTGGATGGCACATGCTTTTAATCCCAGAACCTGGGCAGGAGAAGCAGGTGGATCTCTATGAATATGAGGTTAACCTGGTCTACATAGCAAATTCTAGGCCAGCCAGAGCTACACAGTGAGACCCTATCATAAAAAAAAAAAAAAAAGAAGAAGAAGAAGAAGAAAAAAGAAAAAAAAAACATTGGAAGGTCTCTTGTCAGTTGAGGGCCTGCTCCTTAGCTTTGTGACAGTCATTGTCATGGAGTCTTCACGTGTTCAAGACAGAACACATGTCTGGTTGTGGTTCTATAAGGGCACTCTCCCATTCATGAGGGCTTCACCTTCATGACCTAGTCACCTCCCAAAGTCACTCTCTGAATGCCACCATTTTGTGGACTCAGGCTTTGTGTAAGAATTTGGAATTATATAAACACTCAGTTCACGGCATAGAGTATATAATTAGCTGAATGGATCACAATACTGGATGTGTCTTTTTTCCTGCCTCCAAGGAACACACTTAACCACTAAAGATAGATACTACCTTTCTTATGGTGAAAGAACAGGCAAATGTATTTTAAGCAAATGATAAAACACATACTTCAGATTAAAATTAGAAGAGATAAAAAAGTCCGCTTCATATGGACAAGGGGAGCAGCCCATCAGGAAGACATTAAACATCTAAATATGTACACCTGGAGACTTAGAAAAGGATCTGTGACTAAAAGCGCTCCTGGAGGCCAGGCAGTGGTGTCTCACATCTTTAATCCCAGCACTCAGGAGGCAGAGGCAGGGGGAGCTCTGTGAGTTTGAGGCCATCTTGGACTACAGAGCTATTTCTAGGACAACCAGGGCTACACAGAGAAGCCCTGTCTTGTGGGGAGGGGGACCACTCCCCTGGCAGGGAGATACAATGTTTACCAAAGTGATTTTCTCAGGCTGAGGCTTTTCCATTGCACTTTGGATGTGCTGGCCCTTTCAGTTTCCCCAAATGTGGGAAACTCGGCTGTATAGTTTGTGGTAGTGGGGCAGCTCCGGAGGATCTGAAGGCCTTTTCCGGCCTCCACAGGCACCAGGCATACATGTGACGCACAGACATACATGCAGGCAAATACACATACAGATAAACTAAAAATAAATCTTTAAACGTATACACATTCAATATACACATTCAACACAACGGCTCCCAATTTCACAGACAAATATTGTTAGTTATGAAGTGAAATATCAACATCAATACAGCCATGTTTGAGACTTCAGTCTCCTACTCTTCCCGACGTGCAGGTTATCTGTACAAAAAATAAATAAATAAGTAGAAACACTGGAATTGTATGTCATAATAGATCAAGTGAACCTAACAAATGTGGAGGTCAGAGGTCAGAGGTCAGACAGAGGACAAGAAGTAGGAGTTAGCTCTTTCCTTCCACTATATGAGGGAAGGGAGCAGGCAAGCAGGTGACTGGAACGGTAAGCTAAGAGTTTGTAAAGTTTTTGTTGTTGTTGTTGTTGTTTTTGTTGTTTGTTTTGTTTTTCACTTGAGACAGGGTCTCTCTGTGTATCATTGGCTGGCCCGGAACCCACTATGTAGAGCAGGCTAGCCTAATAGAGATCCACCTGCCTCTGACTCCTAGGTGCTAGGACCAAAGGCATGTGCCACTGCACCCACGAGAACTCACATCTTAAACAGCAAGCACAAGGCAAAGAAAGGAAATTGGTTGGAGCCTTTAAAGTTTCAAAGCCAGAATGTCTCTGTGACATTTTTCTTCCAGCTAGACCATGCCTCCTAAGCCTTCTCAAAACAGCTAAGACCAAGTATTCAAAATGCCAGAAACTGTTGGGGGAGGAGAACATCTCACTTAAACCACCCAGTGCCCCTCACCCTCCGCCACTGGCCACTTCAGGTCACTACCTCATAAAGCAAAAGGCATTAGCCAACTTCTGCACAGGTCCCCATGGTCTTTCCATCTCAACATTGTTTAAAAGTCCAAAGCCTCTTCTGAGAGTCAAGGCAATTTCTAATTGTGACCTCCTGTAAAATAAAAAATAAAAAAAAAAAGTAAATGGCATACTTCCAACATGTAATAGTACAGAGTATATTTCCCATTCCATAAAGAAAATGCTGGACCAAAGCAAGACAAACCCAGCAAGGCCAACACCAAGTTCTACAGCTCTGTGTGCCATGCCAAAGTGCTTAGCTGATTCTACCCTTGCAGGTCTTTTGTCTGTAACACACACTTTTCTCTTTGCCTGTGTGTAGCCCTCCTTGGTAGACATCTCATAGCTCCGGCATCTCCAATATCCAGGGGTCTTCACTAAAACCCAGGCTTTGCTTTCACAGTTTCATGGAAGGCTTTCTCAGGGCTTCCACGCAGGGACTCCCCTGCCACATGCTTGTCTTCTGTGGCCCTGGGGAACCACAGAGGAAGAATCCATGATCCATTTATTCACGGATCCTCTGTGTCACACTGTCAAGTTTAGCTGCCGGCCTGACAAGTTCCTTGGCTTCTTGACTCACTTTTGCAGGAGCAAACAATCCCTGAGCCTTTCATGGCTTAGCTGGGCTGGTCTCTCCCTGAGGGCAGCTTCCCTGTGTTCCAGTGCAGGACACCTCCCTTTAATATCCTTATCTCTTTCTGAACAAGCCTTGGCTGCAACATTAAGTTTCCAGGTGCTCTTTTTCATTTCAAACTGTACATTTTACTTCTTTCTTTCTTCTCCACTTGCTCTTTTTCATTACAGAATGCCTAAGAGTGTTTATTGATAATTATATAACAGAGTCAATATTAGGCTGTCTTGAAATCTCTTCCATCAAACAAATCAGTCCATTACTTTTAAACCTAGCCCTAGGCAAGAGTAGAAGCAACCACATTTTTTTTTTCACCATCAATTAATCTCTGGAAATACCCCCACCAACACACCTAGAATCTCCCAGACAGTGGCAAATCCATCAAGGTAACAATGAAGATTAGCGTCACACAGAGCACAAAGCCGTTTTAAGCAATCCAGCTGTTTTGTTTTCATGCCCTCTTTTCATGAAGATATTCCTATTGCAGGGAAGATTGTGGAGACCCAGATCAAGATGTTTCAGTTGAGAACAGCAACTGAAGTCACTCCTGTGGTATTTTGGAAGATGGAGTGCCAGGGCAAGAGATAGCCCTTAAGAACATGCACTGCACACATTGGTCTGTTCCGTTCACCTAGACACCGCTGCCCAATGTGGTTTTACTACCTCCAAATAACACCATCAGATCAGGTTTTTATTGGGCTTTGGGCAAGGACCAGGAATTTCCAGCTTAGCAGTTATACAATTGGGTGACATCCAGCAAGGGCAAGCTTGTTACAGAGTGATTGGCTAAGTAACATAACTAACACTGAGCTAGCTATCTATAGACCTCAGGAATGTTAGGTATTTTCCTGTGCCATGAATGTTCTACTACAAGGTGGGCTGCCTAACACAGATGCCCCACTCTGACATAAAACACCTTCCCATTCTTGTCGTTAAGCAGGCTGTTTTTTGGGTGGGGGGATTTTTATGGTCTTGTTCCTGGAATTGATGACGTATGGCCTAGTTTTTCTTTTAAAGTTAGGCCTGATTCTAAAATGGAGACAAAATGAAGTTTATGTCAGCCTCATACTCTAATTACCTCACGATGAGTGGCTCCACTAGCTGCAGAACTAGTGGAGAACTAATTTTCAACATGTGAGCTTCTTTGGATATGAGGGGATACTCACATCCAAACTACACCATTAAATTAGGTCATGAGTATGGAGCCCAGTGATGACACAAGTAGTTTTCATGGCAAGAGTAGGAGACCTGACCTGGCCTGCTTTTTTTTCTGGGCCACCTGATGCCTTATGATACAGGAAAACCCTTACCAAGCAGTCACTCAACTTAACTAATACATTGCCAATTTATTTTGTCTCAGTTTCAGAGGTGTGAGACACTTAAAAATGTCAGAGGTAGAGAACCACCTCTCCTATGTTGAAAGAGGAAATCCTTACTATTGGTGTCAGTTTTTCTCAGAGACAGGACTTGCGAGACCACTGAGCCCTGTTCTGCCCAGTTGACGAACCCCAAAAGACCAGGAATAAACAGAAGTTTATTCCTGTAAATACATGAGGTTCTTTTTATTGTAAATTACAAGCTGCAGCTTGGGCCCACACACCCCCACCGCCAAAGTGGTGAGAGCCAAGCGCCCTGTTCCCAGGTTAGTTGGGTGATTTAAAGATTCTGGTCCCTCCCAGCATGCCCAAGGCAGGGGCGATTCCTGCCTGGCAAGCATCTATTGGTCAAAATGCTATATTTTGAATCGATTGGCTATAGGAAGGTTCCCAGACCATTAATGACCTGGTGTCCCTCCCTAGGGGGATGGTCCAGTTTCCTAGCAACTGTATCTCTAGTGGGTGGAGAAAGAATGCAGTGAGGTGGCCCTTCCCCTCAGGGCATTACTGTACTTCTTTACCTACGTAGTTCAGGCCTTAATAATAGCTGCTAATTTATCTTTTGGTATCTCAGCCCCTGGACAGAATCCTGAAAGGTGCTCAGAGAGCAGGCAGGCAAGGGTGGAGGGAGCGGGGGAGGAGGGGTTTGTAGGGCTGTACTTCTTGCTTGTCTCACCCTGGTTCATACCATGCTTGTTCCCAGGTTTTCTGGATGACAACTGAAAGTTTCTAACTTGCAAGACAGAGGACAGCAGAATTTAAGAAACTAACAGATAGCCCAGAGCAATCTGCAACGGGGGTTAAAAACAAAAACACAAAACACAAAAAAACAGCTTCTCTGGGAGTCACAGTGATCTCACAGAGCAATGGCACATGGAACAGCCAGTCACTTGCCTGATAGTCAAGGAATTATCCTCTAAGTTGGTGTATTTCATGGTTTCCTTAAGCGTGCTACTGTGTTTGTTGTATTCCATCTTAACCAAAACAATCTTTAGTATAATGTCCTTTTTATTGTGGGGGAGGTTCAAGACAGGATTTCTCTGTGTAGCCCTGACTGTCCTGGAACTCTCTCTGTAGACCGGGCTGGCCTTGAACTCAGAGATCTGCCTGCTCCTGCCTGCTGAGTGCTGGGATCAAAGGCATGTGTCAACACCACACAACTTAGTATATTGTCTTAATTCTGAAGTATTTAGCAGGATTTTCATTGGTTTTAAAAATTGGTTCTGTTGGGATCCGTAAGCAGGCATCTCTATGGCCAGCCCCAAGGGACCTGACAAGCTGGATATCAGGCATCTGTGAGGCCACCTACAAACTACCTGAAACCACCTTTGCTTGCTCTGGGTCACCTTATAAGAGAACTTGTGCCATCTCCAATCTCTCTCTCTCTCCCTACCCTGCCCAGAGATGTTCTCTGTGACCCCTTCCTCCTTCCCTTAATAAACCTCCCACATGGAACCAGTCACGTGGAGTGATTTGTGAACCTGTCATGTAACTTTGTTGCACAATCCTAACATTGGTGCATTGGCTGGGAATAGGTGCCTCCACCAGCCATGCCGTGTGGTGGTTACTTTTTGGTGCCAGCACCCCACCAGAGCTGCTGGAAACTTATTTCATTCCAAATCCACCCATGACCCACTCTCTAGCAACCAGACCTCTATCTTTTGCATGCAACACCAGCTGGATTGGTGAGTTCCCCACTTTGGTCAGCATAAATGCCTCTCTTGGTAGGGGAAAATGGACAGTTGTGCGTCCAGCAACTTCTTACTACCCTTTGAGATGGAGGATCCCCAAATCACAGTCTTCATTGGCTATGGTTGACCCTTTTTGCTGACCTCCATTTAGGGCTTCCTCTTTCTCTTGGGTGAGATTTTTTCCCTTTGACATGCACAGTTTTTCCCCCTCTCATGCTCACCTATGAAAATCCTAGTGCTAGTTTTGTAAACCTGTCTCCTACAGGCGGCTGTGCCCTTGGTCTCTGCCAATGCTGATGAGTTGTTGGATCAGGTATGGCCATACTACTCTACTGAACCACACCTTGCCTTTGGGATGCCTCTGGCAGGTCACTGACTCCTACCCTCCCAATGGGAACTGCCCATTCATCTGTTCCTCCAGT